GTAGAGTTTGACCGTGGATGAAGAAATAGATTGACAAGTTTCTCTATAGTCTTAGGCTTTGTCTACACAACACAGTTTTTAGTGACACAGCTATGTTGACACAACTGTGTCACTAAAAGATGGGCAGTGGAAAAACTTTTGTCATTCGGGGAGTGGAGGAGTGTACAACAAAAGGTTTATCACTCAATTGCCAATGTAGACAAAGCCTTATATTGTTAAATTTGATTAAGATCAGTGGTTACTAAAGTGTTAACAGTTCATTATTTACTTAAGGATGAGACTCCAGATATGGCAGCATGTATTATGTGATTGGGTGATACTATTAGTTGGGTGACTGCTATACTGCAGGTAATTCCAGGTGGATACTTGTTATACATGAGCTTCAGGGCCTGCTCTAGGCACCAGCAAATCAATCATGTGCTTGGGGCGGCACATTTCCAGAGGTGGTATTTTCAGGTAAGCAGCCACCTTAGGCATTGCCCGGCCCCACCCCGCCGATTTTAAAGAGCAACGGGAGACGCCACTACCCGCTGTGCAGCGCTGGCACCATGTGCGCCCAGAGCCTGCTGGCCGCCCTCTGCCTCCTGCTGCTGCCTGGCTCCGCTGCCTTCTTCAGGTCAGCCCTGCCCACAGGGGGCCAGGGCGGGTTCGCAGGGGGATGGCCCCGGTGCAGGAAGTGCAGTCTCCCTTCTGGCCAGGGCCATGATGGCTGCAGTGGGGCCAGGCACCACTGGGGCCCCTGTCCCCTGGGCATGGCCATGCAGACTGCGCTGGACAAGGGCCTGCAGGCGCTGGAGAAGCTGTAGGTACTGTATGAAATAATACAATTAATTTCTAATGGAGTGCATAATGAAATTTTATCAGATTTGAAACATGCCAAATATTACTCAATTATAGTGGATTGTATTCAAGATCTGAGCAAAACCGAGCAAATGTCAATAGTTTTATGATTTGTGAAAATTAATGAAAGTGCAGAAGTGAAAATTTGTGAACACGTTCTAGAATTTACATCAGTGAATGAAACTACTGGGAAAGCCCTCACAGATGTAATTCTACAGAGACTGGAACACTATGGAATACCTTTAGAAAATATGCACAGCCAAGGGTATGAGAACGGCTCAAACATGCGAGGACGACATGCAGGTGTACAGCAAAGAATATTGAATTTAAATAATCGAGCTTTTTTCATTCCTTGCCATGTGCATTTGCTCAATCTGGTAGTCAGGGATGTTGCCAAATCATTTAAAGATGCCGTTTCATATTTTACCACTGTACAAACAAGTTACAACTTTTTTAGTGCTTCCACACCATTGGGCAGTCTTGAAGAAGCATCTTGAACAAAAACTCACATTTAAACCTCTAAGTCAAACTAGATGGGAAAGCAGGATAGACGCTATTAGACCATTCTGATATTCATCAGGAGAGATTTATGATGCATTATTCAAAATAAGCCAGGACTTGTCGTATGATCCTTCATTTCAACATGAAGCTGAAACACTGGCTCAGAAAATGATTCAGTTTCAATTTTCATTTTGCACAGTGATTTGGCATAATATTCTAAATCAAATTAATTTGGCCAGCAAAGTTATACAGAAAATAACCATAGACATATCTGAGCCAAAGACGATTTTGAATAAAACCCTGGAATATTTAAAAAAATACCGTTCTGATGAAGGATTTGAAGAGACTGTCAAAGAAGCAACAACAATAACAGAAGATCTTGATTTTGAACCGACGTTTGCACCTCAACAATTCATTTGTTCTCGAAAAAAACAAGACAGTTGTGTTATGAGGCTCATGATGATCCTAGTCTCGATCCAAAAGAAAGGTTTAAAGTTGAATGTTTCTATTGTATTTTGGATGTAGCTATAACTTCCATTGAAGAAAGATTTGATCAATTGCATGGTCTTTGTGAAACTTTTGAATTTTATACGATATTGAAAATATTAAAAATCAGTTTTCTAAAGAAGACTTCATGAAGCACTGCCAGGACCTACATTTAGCATTCAGTAGTAATAATGCTACTGACACTGATGGAGTAGAATTGTATGATGAATTAATAGCTTTGTCTGAGCTAATAAGTCCTAAAACTTCTCCTCTAAAAGTATTAGAATTTATAGCAAGAAATGATTTTTTCACTCCAAACACTGCTATAGCATTATGCATTTTTTTAATATTACCAGTATCGGTGGCTTCTGGTGAGCACAGTTTCTCAAAACGGAAATTACTAAAAAATTATTTGAGGTCCACCATGTCTCAAAATCGTTTGTCAGGACTCTCATTAATTTCAATTGAAAGTACACTATAAAAAATTAGATTTTACTGAATTATTAAAAGGCTACACAAGTATAAAAACCAGAAAAAATCAGTTCATATAAATTCTTTTAATTTTGAGATACTGGGCACACCAGAAGACACTAACATTTTTCATTACAGTATATAGTTGAATCCAAATTGTTTGTAATTGTAATTTTGTTAAAATTAAATGAGAACACTAGTAGGAAATTGTTTTATTTCACTAACTACACATTTTCTGTTTTCATTTTTTTTATTTTAAACAGTAAAAACAAAATAAAACAAAACAAAACATTGCAAAGTGCAAACATGTGTAAAAGCCAACAAAAAAAAGGGGGGGGGGGAGCAACATTTTTTTTGCTTCGGGCGGCAAAAAATGTAGAGCCAGCCTTCATGAGCTTAGGGCGGATAAACAAGGACGATGTGTTTCCAGATGGTCCTGAAAGACGCTACAATTCTTGAAATTCTTTTGAGAGTATAGGAGGATTTTTAATAGTCTTTTAAAGTCTCTTCCTAATGCCCATCAGTTAATTGCCTGCTCATGTCCAGAAGCATGAAGGTTCATATCCCTTAGAAAGCATGAATTACTGCCTTTTATATCCAAAATATGTACTCTGAACATGTTGATACCAAGTACGATAGTGGGCCTTTGATTTAATTCTATTAGCCATTCACACAGCTTTGCTAGGTACCTCTGAAGTTCCTCAAATTCTTCTCCAAATATGATTAACTTCAGTAATTTTGTATCACCAGCAATGTTTGCCATCTCACTGTTCACCTACATTCCAGAACACTAATCAATGGGCACACAAGATGAATTAATATCTCATCTTCTAGTGGATGCTTGGTTATTGGTAGCCTTACTGGAAAAAGAAAAATAGCCTACCCATTGAGGAATGGTTAAAAATATGAGAGGTTAAATATGGAAAAATTAATACACCAACTACATACTCAGCAAAATAGACAGACCATAGATAGATACTTAGCTAAAGGATTGTAATTTTTTCAGTACTCAAAGCACATTCCTCCGCAGAAAAAACAAACAAACAAACAATCCAGCACACCTGTCCATTTTTTTTAATATGCACACTTACTAGACATGCTTGGTCTGTTAAATGTATACAGGCAGTCCCCGACTTACACGGATCCGACTTATGTCGGATCCGCACTTACGAACGGAGCTTTCTCGCCCCGGAAGTCGGGGCGAGAAAGCCCCGTTCATAAGCTGCTCGGGTGCCCCATGTCTGCTGGAGACCGTCTCCAGCAGACCAGGGGCACCGGGCGGGTTCCCGCGCTTCTGAGGCTTTGCCAGAGCAAAGCCTCAGAAGCGTGGGACCCCGCCACGGCTGCGGGTTTGCTCGAGGGGTCCCTGGGCTGCTGGAGACGGTCCCCAGCATACCAGGG